CTTGTTCTCCCGCTGCCTGTCTGGTTGAATTCCATCATCATTCTGTTCCCAAACACGGGGACACAGGCTCCCAGGAACACCTCCCACCGTCCCCCAGGACGGGGGCCATTTTCCCATTTCCTTCCTCAAATCCCCACACTTCTGCTTCTGAAACTGCTGGTTCAAAAGCGAAGAGGAAAAAGGCTGGAATCTAAACATGGTGCAGGGAAAGGAAACGCCGGGAATAAATGAAGGAGTTTTCCTAACACGCCCACAGCCTGGATGTAAGTACCAAAAATGTGCTGTGTGATCCTGCACCAGCGGCCTGACGCTTCCTGTGCCTTAGTTTCCCTCACTGTCCAGATGAGTGGAGGGTTTCTCAGCCTCAGCGTTACTGGCATTTGCAACAGAGCGTTCCTTGGGGCTCAGTGGAGCGGAGGCTGTTTGGTGCATTGGAGGATATTTAGCCCAGTAGAGGCCAGTAGCACCCCCTTTCCAATTACAACAACCAAAAATATCTCCAGACATTGGTAAATGTCCCCCAAGGGTGCAAAATTGACTCCACTTGAAAACCGCTGGGCTAGCGATATCTCCCTTTCATGGTTGTTAAGAAAATTCTCCAAAACTCACTTCCTTCCTCTCATCCTTCCTTCCTTCCATCCCTCCTCTGTCCCTCGTTGGGCTTTATCCTTCTTCCACCACTAGCAGACCGAACAAGATGATTCCTAAGGTACCTGCTGGTCATGACATTCAATAGTTCTGTGGTTCTTGATTGGGTCAAGGCACGAGCTCAAGCCTGCCCTTCCAACCTGGGAAGAAGGTAGTGGTTCCATGTTACAGATGGTACATAGGGCAGTCAGTGCTTATGGCTGCCACATGTGGATGTGTCCACTCCTGGGGGCAAAGGAGGGGTGACATCATCACCCAGCTGCATGGGCCCGGGTCTGAACTCCTAGGGGCCAGCTCTGCCTATGGGCTCTGTGAACAGGTGGCTCCTCCAACCTGGGAAGAAGGTAGTGTGGCTCCATGTTACAGGTGGGGCATCTGGAGTGAGAAAAGGCCAGATACCATGTTGGAGCTGAGGGACGGCTCAGGACCCAGAGAGGCTGACACAGTCTCAGACGAGGGGGCTGAGACTGGCCAGCTCTTTCCCAGTTTTCCCTCCCCCTGGGCTGGACTACATTTCCCACCTTCTCTTGCTCTTTGATGTGGCCACATGATTGGGTTCTGGCCAATGGCATGTGAACATAAGGTGAAGCCACAACTTCCTGGTCCATTGAAATCTCCCACAAGACCTTCTACCCACTAGATCATCTACTCCCTCTCCTCCATCTGCCCACTGGATGTCAGTGCCCAGGGCAACCCTAGAAGCCTGTACTGAAGATGGCAGAGGCTCTGTGGCACCGGTCCCTGAATCCCTACATGACTGTGTGGAGCAGAGCACTCCCACCTCACGCAGCTGAGAGGACTTCACACAAGTGAGAAATAAACTTCTGAGTATTAGGCCATTATACACTTGTGGGTTGTGTGGGGTAGAGTAGGGGTTCCTGGACTGGGTGGAGGGCTCTGAGCTGCATTTAGATTGGGGAACTAGAACATCTATTTCACTTCCTATGGATCTAATGCTGCAAGTTACAGAGGGAGAGTGTTCGGCTGAACTAAACATATGACCACGTGACTATGAGAGGTGTCATACCAAGTCACCAAATGCAGACTGGCATGGAGGCCACCCAGGACGGCTGCAAAGTCTTGTGCTGAGCCAGACTTTCCTCAGGGCTAAGAATAAACAGGAGACGCAGAAGTTCTGGCACAAGGTGCCAACTCTGAGCCGTGCTGGCTCCGGGCTGGTGGAAAGATCAGTCCGGAGCTTGGCAGGGGTCAGTTGTTGGGGCCAGGCAAAGGCCTGTGCTCCCGTGGTCCCAGGACCTAGTGGCTCAGCACATCTGGGAACATCAGTTTCCCCAGGTGCCTGTCTCAGGCAGGAAGAAAGAAGGTTAAAGGCCAGGCAGAGAGTTCAGAAAAGGTGAAAGTGGCTCCTGCAGCCACGAGGGCAGGGACATAGGGACACTGAACCTCAGCCCCCTGGCTCAGCGCCCTTTGCTGGGACTGGGGTGGGAAAAGCCTTCATGAGACCAAGGTTCTCTTGAAGAAGACCTAACAGTTTGGTGCCTTCTGGTTCTAGGAGGAGCAGCGAAGCCTGTGGCGCTCGGGAAGAAAACTCAAGGTCATAGTCCTACAAGCGAAGGCAACATGCAATTGGGAGCAAAGTCCCCTGGGCTACAGCTTGGGCAGAACTGGGGTAGGTCACTGACTGTCACCCTCCTCAAGCCTCCAAAGAGGGGAAGGCTGACGTCCAGCCCGTGTCCCCCTGCGAGGCCAGCCTGGCAGTTCACAGCAGGTGGCGGCTGGGGCTGCAGTGTCAGAAGGGCCACTCTAGTCCCTGTCTCTATCCCTTACCTTGCTCCTCCCTGTGTCTGGGGGCAGTGGTGGCTGGCTGCCCTGCCTGGGATTGGGTGACTTGGTCCGGTGACAGCAGGAGGAAGCCCATTTGACTCCTGGCCTGAGCCACATCCTCATGGCTTTACCCCCCATGAAGCTCACATTTTGGTGCTTGGTCTCCTCTATTTCCTAACCATTTCGGAACCTGGAGGGGGAAGGAGGCTGGTTAGCGGGCTTCTCTGAAACACCATGGGGCGACTTAGGGCCTCCACCTGCGTTGTAAGGACAGGCGCGGCTCACGCAGCTGCACAGGCGCCCACACCAACCTGGGGAGCCCGTCTGTCTGCCAGTTCGCTGGTGGAAAGGCACCTGTGAGCACCGCCCAGAAGCCTAAAACCAGCCGGTGGTACTGGGGAGGGGGCCAGTGACCCAGAATAAAGCCTGAAAACCCGGCCTTGACCAGAGTCCGCCTCCCCCCCCAGCTTCCCTCTTCTCTCGGGGGTCCACAGTGTCCCCAGACCCAGGGACACTGTTTACCCTAAACGCCCACAAAGACTTGAGGGGAGTTCTTCCCCTGCCTCCCACATCAAGAAGAGAACATTTTAAAAATGTTTTTATTTAATTAAAAAAAAGACAGAACTAACAACCCAAAACCAGTAGTAGGTACAGGAGTCACAGGTGCTTAACTGCGAAACACACAGGGGCGGGAGGGGGTGGGGCAGAGGGACAGGAGGCAGGCACAGGCCACCACTCCCCAGGGCGGGGCGCGATGTGCCAGGTCTGAGGTGTAGCGGGAGGAGGGGGCGACCCAGAGCCCGGGGCCCCTGAGACAGGCCGGCGAGGGGGAAAGGCTGTGAAGGCGTCTGAGGTGGTTTTGCTGCCTGCTCTTCCTCCTCGTCTTCCTCCTCTTCCTTGGTGCCTAGAGTGGGCCCTGCGTTCTCTGCCTGGGACCGGGCAAGAGGTAGGATTCACTGGAACACAGCTCTCTCTAAATGACGGAGACTTCCGGGACAGCGGGCGAGGAGCGGGGCGTGGGGACGAAACCAAACGGCACGGCTGCCTTGCCTGTGGAAGGAACAGGGGACGCATCTCGGGGCCTCGCCGGGCCAGGGGTCTGCGGGTGGCGCTCCCTTCCCTCAGCCTGGTCACTCCGTGTCATGGCGTGGAGGTGGTGGCGGGGGCTGGGTTGGCCGACGGCAGGGGCAGCCCACGAGCCCTGACGCTTGCAGCTTGCATGCTCGGACGCGCCGCCACACAAAGCCAAGCGCGGCGGAGCCGAGGGCCTCAAGCAGGCACGAAGGGGCCCTGGGTGCCTCCCGTGCCAGCTCCCCGGCACGCAGGGGCAGTCGGCTGGGGCCACCACACGTGGACGTGTCCTCTCCTGGGGGCGAAGGAGGGTGGGAAGGACGATGACGTCATTACCAGGCCACATGGACCCCGGTCTGGACTCCTAGGGGCCGAGTCCACCCACGGGCTCCGTGAGCAGGTGGCTGAGGTAAGAATTTGCTCGTCACTTCTCAAGTACGACAGCTACCGGGATCACAGACGACCATCCAAGGTCTGATCGAGAAGTCTCAAAAAGTAAGAAATGATTGATCTTTAGAAAGCATGTTTTATATAAAAGAGGGTAAGTTCCATGTTCCGGAGAGTTTTTCTTCCAAACCTGGACGCATTTCCACGCTCTTTGCTTGTTTCCGGAGGGGACAACAACAAAAAAATGGGTGGAAAAACTGTAAAACACAGAACCCACTTCCTCAGTTCTGAACAAAGTGCTGAGATTTCCCTCTTGGGGGAGGAAGAAAAGCCCAGCTCGGCCCTTTCATCCAAACCTCCTCCACTGCGTCCCGTTAGGTGGTGGCAGAATAAATTACAATAACAGGAGGTGGGGGACGTGTCGCTGCTGAACTTTTTAAGATGAGGACATGAATGCAACTTGCTCTCCTGGTGTTGACTTGCAATAAATCATGATTTGTATTCACCCAGGAAATGGATGTTTGTTCTCTAATTTTTCTTTTTTGGTTGCTGTTCACCCTTGGGTCTCCCCCTGTTGCACTGTGGCCAAACACGAGTCAGGGGTCTGCCCCCGCCTCCCCTGGGCCCCCCACCACTCAGGGACAGGGCTGCTCCTCAGGTCAGTGGGGACGGACACAGCAAGAGGCCATGTGGCCACCTTTCCTCCAACTCTCAAGTCCAGTCAGTGTGTCTGTCCTGCCCATGCTGAGTGAGGTGGAAACTTCCAGAAGCAGATAGGAGAGCCGGTAACAGCCCCCAGCCTTCACCTCAGACTCCTCTGCAGTCCTGCGGGAAGCAGCCCCAGGACAGCGCAGAGGCTGAAGCACCAGTTGGCTGCAGAACCTTCTCTTCGGGATGACCGTTTTCAACCACGGGCCACGGCCAGAGTGCCCGAGAGGGGGAGAGACGGCGAGGAGGGGTGACCTTCGGTGTCCTCGTTTCTGGCTCAAAGACACAGGAACTTCAGGTTCAAAAGCAGCTGACAAGAGTCCAGAGGCCCCCTTGTGCCTGGCGAAGCCTTCAGGTGGCCCAGCGCCCAGGCAGGGCGGGGAAGCCCTGAAATCCCGTTCTTCTGGCAAAATTTGTTTCCAAGAGGAGATAATGGCTCGATTTTGTTTTCCCGAGTTGGTCAAGGCCATGCAGCCTCAGGAAGGCTCTTGGGCCTCCTGGGAGATTTCGGAAACCCTGGGGCATCAACCCCCCCGTTTTGGGATGAAGTCAGCCTCCAGCTTCTACCGCAGCCCCGAGTCCAGTCTCCTGGCGCTTCCTTCGCTCGAAGCCAGCCCACGACACCTGGAGACCAGGGAGGGCCGCGTTTGGCTCGAGTTCATTGTCCATCCGTCTTAAGGATCACACGCCCTCCTGTGTGACACAAAGAGCCGTTCTGGGCAGGCCGGAGCTGCAAGCAGGGGTGGGCCTCACACGGGGGTCGTCCGCCGGTTCAGCATGCTGACGTGGAAGCCTTCCTTCAGGTCCTGCTGGAAGAAGTCGTGCACCTGCAGGAAGCTGGCCTCCTGGTCGGGGCTGTAGCTGGCGGCGGTGGTCACCTTCAGGGGCTCCCTGGACAGCGTGTACATGGACAGCTCCCCCATGGGGATGGCCCCGGTGATCTTCAGGCCCACGGGGGACGCATCCCTGGACGGCGAGGCCTCGGTGGACCTGGAGCTGGACCTGGAGCGCCGTCGCCGGTACCTGTAGCTCGGCATCCTGGCGTACGGAGAAGAGGAAGAAGCCTTAAGGAACTCCCGTTTGGTCTTAAACCTCAACTCTTTATTTTTCTCAATGTAAATGTTTACGGCCAGGACGCCCACCGTCTCGGCCACGATAAAAGACAGGGCTCCAAAGTAAAAAGACCAGCCGTAGTTATAATGGTTCTTTTTGTCTTCGTCTCGCTTGTCACTTGGGTCGCCCGTGTTGCTGGAAATGTAGACGATAATTCCTATGATGTTACTGAGGCCTGATAGGGAAACAGGGAGAGGGGCGGGGGAGGGAGAGAGGCAGAGGTTAGACCCAAGCTGGACCGGCAGGGCAGGGAACAGGCAGCCGTTCCCCTGTTCTGCGTGCTGACTTCTCTTTGAAGTCATTAATTTTGAATGGTACAAAGTCTAAATGAGGCAAATTGTACAACACAGACTTGTAACCACCTGGTTCCCCTCCCGAAGGCAGCTCCTGTTACCTGCTTTCTTACATCCTTTCAGAGAGAATCTCTCTCCAACACACACAGGTACCTGTGCTTGTCTGTGCGCAATATTCTTGGGTTTTTCACTTAACTGTACATCCGAGAGATGGTTCCACGTCAGGACAGGAAGAGCTGCCCTGTCTTTCTGACTGCGTGGGGCAACCCCATACAGACATCTAACCAGGCCTCTGCTGGGGGACCTTCAGGTGGCTTCCCGCCCTCTGCTGTGACACTGCCTTGGACATCCCCGTGCCTCTAGCGTTGCACACACACATGAATACAACTGTGGGGTGCCGTTCCTGAAGTGAACCTGCTGGGTATGGGGTATGTCCATTGAAAAACCTAAAATACACTTTTATTTTGGAATAATTTTAGATTTACCCAAAAGTTGCAAAGAAAGTCCAATGTAATCATGGGACCAGCAGTAACTAGGCTTACTCTGTTGCTAACAAAGTGTCAAGTTACCTTGTAGGTATAACAGAGCCAAAACCTACAAGTTGTGTAGCCAAGGCATGGATAACAGAGTAAGCTTTGACCTCTAATGACGCCCGGAACCAGTGATTCCTCTCCTCAGAACCAAGAAGACCGGTCCGTAACTAGAACCTGACCGCCAGAACTCTTTCGGAAGTGAGGGGTCCGCTGCCCGGGAGATCTGGGGTTAAAATCCATGTCAGTGTCCCTTACTGTAAATGGTCAGGTTTAAGCCCTCCAATGAGACCCAGCCAAGCTGACATTCCTGAACCCTCTCCCTCACCCTCCAAGCCATAAACTTGCCCCTAAACTGGGGGGACAGGTCTGAGCCCGCCTCCCGTCTCCTTGCTGCTGGTCTTGCAACAAAGCCTTTCTTGTCTCCAAAGCCAGCACCAGAGCATTGGCTTCTGGGCACGTCAGGCAGCACCTGTCACTAACACAGAGAGCCCGTGTACGTCTCACCAGCTTCCCTAATGTTAACATTTATGTCACCACGGGACATTTGTCTCGGTGAGGAAACCGACCTGGCACATCACTAGTAACCTGGATTTACCAGGTGTCCACTAATGTCCTTTTTTCTGATTGCTCAAAGGACCCCAGTGTGAGGAGGAGGAGAAAGGGGGTCTCCTCCCACTGCCACCCGCTGCTCTGGGCTGAGGGGAAGGCAGGAGGGACACAGGACCAGCCAGGAGGGAGGCTCATGCCTCTTCCTAGGGGACCCCAGTACTCCCCTTCCCAAGACACATCCCCCCCACACACAAACCGGCCACAGTCCTTAGACACACACACACTCTGCACGTGCCTATTTATGGCACTGGGAGGAAACAACGGCTGAAGCGGCGTAGAAGAAAGCGCACAGGAACTGGGTCCAGAGCCCCGGCCCCAGCACCCCAGCCCGAGAGCTGCACAGTGGCCTGATGGCGTTGGCGCTCAGTTCCAGGATGTAAACAGAAGGGGGTCCTCTCTCGCCCAGGACAAACTCAAGGGGAACATGAGATGGAGGTGAGGGTGTCCCTGAGGACCCCCGTGGCCAGGCCCCGGGCCAGGCCCGCCCCGTCCTTGGCAGAGGAGACCGGGCACGACCACCACTGATCTGCCCACGATCGCCACCGCTGGCACAAATGGACTTTTCAGGGTGCAGAGACCAGGTGCAGGGGATGACACTCCTGGGCTGGAGAGCCTGGTGTAAGATAAAAGACGCTCTGAAAGCGAAAACACTGTCAGCACAGAGCAAAGGGCTAAGAATTTGGGAAAGAATCACGAGCTCCGTAACATTTCTCGCAGTTAGTTTCTGGAACGAGGCTTAAGAGGTCAGCAGCTCCTGTCTCTCCTCTCAGGGACCCTGCTGCGCCTTCCTCTGACCTCCCCGGGAGCCGCTCACCCCCGGGAGCTAGGAAAGCTGTCAGGAGCCCGGGTGCCCCGCTGGACTGGCTGTGAGACCCACCCCTGGCGTCCCTTCGTCCACGTGTGCAGTGGCAGGCGTGCATTCAGGTGTTGCTATCAGGGCGCAGAGGAGAGGATGGTGTTCAACCGTTTGGACCTGCTGGGCAGGTGGCACGTCACTGCCACCCTGACGTCTGGGGGTTTTCCTCCGTCACACTTTCCCGGGGCAGTGGGCGTGGCTCTGAGGTGCTGCTCCCCTTCGGGGCAGTGAGGACGGCAGGGGCTGCCCAGCTCCCTCTGCCAGGCACGCCGGGCTTCTCTGCTTCCCTTGCACGGTGGCCACGCACACCCACTCTGGGCCCTCGCCCTGTCTTTACCTGGCCGACTCCTTCAGGTCTTGGCTTCTCATATGGTATGGACAGCCCTCCCCCACGATCACGCCCCCTGGCAGTTGGTACCACCGTGGCCCCAGCTCCCGCCCCAGCGCTGGCACCAGCTGGGCAGCCCGGGCAGGCGGCTCACCTGCAGCCACAAAGAGGATGCCGGCGCTGAGGACGATGTTGTTCTTGCGGCTGTAGATCCTGCCGGCACCGATGCACAGCCCTCCGAGCAGGAGCAGAATGGTGCTGAGGATGGGGAAGACGCTGGAGGCTCGCACGACACCTGGGCCGGGAGGGGACAAAGCAGAGAGTGCAGTGAGATCAGCCGCCCTGCCCTCCGGTGTCTCCCAGGAGCCCTGCAGCTCCAGGCCTTTCCGCAGGATCTGAGGTTCCCAGCAGGACCTGGAGACGGAGGGTGGGGGCGGGGGGAGGGGTCGTGGGGACAGCTGGGCCAGACGCAAGCGGTGGCTGTAGGTCTGCTGCTTCCCCTCCTGACGCCAAGTGGCCCAGAGTCACGTCTCACTGAACCTCTCCCCCAGTGTGGGCACCAGAGGGGCCATGATAACAGCCATGAAAACACTGGACTCCGTGGTATTCCCGCCACACCTCACAGCCCACAAGCCCTTTCCTGGACGCGGTCTCCCTGAAGCCCCTGGAAGGCTGGGAAGCCACGTCCACGGGAGGCGGCCCTCAGGGGTCTCAGTGGTTGAGGACACAGGCTTTGGCCATGGGCGGGTCTAGGTGTGGGCCCTCCTCTGTGACATACTGGCTGTGTGGCCTCAGTCGAGTCCCTTCCTGCTCTAAAACTCAGTTTCCCTCCTGTGGAAGGAGGTCCATCATGGCGTCAATGTCCTGTGGTTGGCTTTGCTTGTATGAGGTGCTCAATACGGGGCCTGGCCATAGTGTGCACTTCCTAGGTGACATTTTATCTTCATCGTCATCATGATGGTGATGACACATGACAGATGAGGACGTGGAAGCTCACAACTTGCCTGAGGTCATGGAGGAGGAGGTGGCTGGGTGGAATGGGATGCTTGTGGACTGTAACATACAACAGAACTACCCTCGTGTTCTTGTTCTGCCACTGACTAGCGGACCGGGGCCAGCTGACTTCAGTGACCACCTCTGTCCTCCTTTTATAACCCGGGGACAGTAGCAATAATACCTACCTGTAGGGGACTGAATTGTGGCTGCCCCTAAATATGTCCATGTCCTAACCCCCAGACCTGTGAACAAGACCTTATTTGGAAAAAGGGTCTTTGCAGATGTGATTATGTCAAGACTCTCAAGATGGGCTCGTCCGGAGCGGAGAGGGTGGGCCCCAAATCCAATGGCAAGTGTCTTAGAGGAAGAGGAGACACAGGCAGCAGAGGAGACCCAGAGGGGAGGAGTCTTGTGAAGACAGAGACAGAGGCTGGAGTGCGCTGCCGTGAGCCCGGCAGAGCCGGCAGCCACCAGAAGCGGAAGAGACAAGGAAAGGTCCTCCCCTGGAGCCTTCAGAGGGAAAAAGGTCCCATCAACACCTTGACTTTGGACTTCTGGCCTCCACACTGTTGTTTTAAGCCACCCAAGCCGTGGTCACTCCTCAAGGCAGCGCTGGGAGATGAACACACCCTCAGAGGGTTACCGCAAGGAAATGCAGCGCACAGTGGGGGCTCCGGCTCCCCACCCTGTGTCATGTGGGGGAAGGTCAGGCAGGGAAGGGGGCACAAGGACCCGCCCTGGACCCAGCCTCCCCCTGCACCTGCTGTCCCCCAGCCCAGTGGCAATCCCAGCTGCCTGGACTCGTGGTGGCCACAGCATGGGACAGTGAGCAGGGGAGGACTGGCAGGCGCCGCCCTCCTGAGCCAGCTGAGTTGGTTTCAGCCCCTCAGCCTCTGAAGGCAGGATTTGTCCCCTTCTCTGTGAACCCACCCGTGTGCGCCTGCTTCACAGAGAGCGGATTGTCTGGGGGCATTAAATGAAGTTCTTCTCTGCGGCACCTCCTCCTCCCCATCCTCGCTTTGCCTCTGGCAGCCGTGGGCTCTGGGAGGAGGTTTCCTGTGTTCTTCTGAAACATGCCTCTGAGCCGTGCTGGCCAGAAAAGTCAGGATCAGTCCCCTCATCCCCCCCACAGTGCCCTCGTTCTGCAGACAGGTCAGAGGGACCAGAGAGAAGGGGGACCAGTTCCTCAGAGTCATCCATCTGCCCAGGTAAGTCTGGTAAGCACCTGTCCCTCGCCACATGGACTTCTTCCTGAGCTCTGGATGTGCAGAGGCCAGCTGGGGGTGCCATGGACAGTGGTCCAGGTTGGGCACAGAGCAGGTGGCTGAGGGATGAGTGAGGCTGAAGTCCAGCCCATGCCCTGCTGGCCACATCAAGCCCTGGTGAGGATCTTTGTCCACTTGGAGATCAGACACTTCCTCCTAACTCACCCTCAGGCACGCCTGGACTCCCAGCAGCCCTGACACCAGTGTGCAGTGTGTGGTTTAGCACAGAAATTATCCACCTAACCGGAAATGTGGAACCGGGAAAGGGGCGCCAGGCTCAGGCAAGATGGGTGGGACTCCTCTGGCCAGCGGGGCCCATGGAAGAGACGGCAGGCAGGATGTGGGGTGGTGACCCCTGGAATCCTGGGCTGTGACTCTGCAGACCAGCAGGAGCATTGTGAGAGCTTGGAGGCCTGCAGGAAGACCTGTGACAAAGAGCGCCAGCCTGGCTTCGCTGGAAGGCTTCAGCATGTGTGGCTGGTGGGTGACCTCCTTCTCGAGTTATCAGAGGGTGGGTTTGAGCAGCGCAGCTTTGGACCCGCCTGGGCTGGTGCCACTGCACAGTGAGCCGCCACTGGAACGGGCTCTCCTGTAGACAGCCCCACCATGGAACCTTCTGTTACCTTCTCTAGAACACCTGTTCTCCCCAGAATGCCAGCACCGGGAGGGCAGAGCGCTGTTTTGTTTGCTGCCGTGTCCCACGTGTCTAATACAGTGCCCGACACGTCATAGCCCATAGTGACTCGTTAAATGAGTGACTAAATGAATTCTCATGACCCCTCACCTCTTGCACACATCGGCCCCCAGAGACCCCTCCCTCTCCTGTGCTTCTACGTATTTTTGGGATCCACAGTCTGGACTGACGGAGACCAGAGATGGAATACTGAGAATCCGGGGGGCCTGGGAAACACAGGCCAGGTGTCCATGGTGACCATGACCTTGGCCTTTCTCCAAAAATTATTCCCCTGCCCCCCCACCCCCGGCTCCAAGCTCACAGGCACATGTACTCCGGAGGCAAAGGCTGATCAGAGACACACGCAGAGCTCGGTTTCTGCAGCCACTGGGTGGAAACGCATCTCCCTTCCGAAAGTTAGCTCTGCCCCTGCAGCCCCCAACGCCGCCCGTAGCTGGAGGCCACAGGCCGGAAAGCCATCAACCCATGTCTTCCGTGGGCATCTCTGGACTCGTTAATGAACCTGGCTGCTCTCCCCACAGCATACACTTAAGGAGGACATGTCCTTCCCAAATGAGCTTTAATTGCTGTTGTGCTATCACCATCATTCTGTTTGGGAAAATCACTTTGCAGCCCTCCCAGCCCTGCGCCTCCCTGAGGACCTGCAGAGTCTCATTCCCTGTCTGCCCCTGCAGACCCTCCGTCCACCCTTCCCCGCCCTGCCCTGGGCCCCGGGAGGCTGCGTGTGTGGCCCGAATCCTCGGGTGTCGGCGAGGGGGTTCTCCCCTGGCTTGCGGCCTCCTTCACGATCGTCACAGCTCCTGCCAGGCGGCCCTGTCCTCACATACCCCCCTCCAGGTTCCCACACCTGCCTCCCTCGCCTGTGCAGGCCGAGGGGTGTCGGGGCTCCTGGCTTTCCTGGAGGGATGCTCGCCAGCCCCGCGGGTTTCCCTCAACCGTGTCCACATCTTTCTAAGTGGTCCTTCTGTGACCACCCTTCACTTGCCCTGTTGGAGCACATCTGCTTCCTGCCGGGACCTCCGGAAGCAAATGGGCCGACCTCTGGGCTGGTGTGTCTTGAGGCCGATCCAGAAAGAGATCCCAGAGCTCTGGGGCCAAGAGTGGGACAGGGACAGAGAGGTAAACGCCAGCACCAATGCCCGTGACCTCAGGGGGAGGTCCTGGGGAGACGAAGAGGGAGCGGTTTATTTCTCCAGCGCTTCCTTCCTTGGAGTCCCAGGGCTGGGTTGGGCAAGGAAGGGCGGATTCTGAGTTAGGGCTGATTTCCCACAGTCGATCCTCAGCTGGGCTGAGCACCAAGGGCCACGTGGATGGCTTTGTAGGCCACGCACTGCAGAACTCGAAGGACATCATTCACGCCTTCATCCACGCAAGTGACATCCCCCGAGTTGTGCAGTGTGCAACGTGCACGACTCTCTGGGTCGGCCCTGTGGGAATCTTGTTTGCTTGGTTCAGGGTGGGCTCACAGTAAGCAGAACCAGAGGACAGGCCAGAAGAAGAGGAGAAGGTTAACAGGGGGAGGGATGGGAGGCAGAGCTCTGGTCAAATGATTTCAAGTTCTGGGCCTGGCCGGAGCAGCCTGACACTGCCCCAGGCTCCATGGGCAGCGCACGCTGTTCTATTTCACCAGATGACTCAGAATCAAAATCCTTTCCTTAGGAAAAATGACGCACAAGCAGGCGCGGAGTGAACTGTGTTCCCTCTGAGGGCGCTGCTATCGATTCCCCACAAACGAGGCTGGGCCGAGCCCCAGAGGTGCGGCTGCGAGCAGCGCTTCATGTGCCGCAGCTAACGTGAAAGGGGAAAATGACCTCAAAACGGGGCTGTTTTTTCCATTTCCAGCCTCTTCCGCCGCGGCTCCCTCCTTCCTCCCAGCCAGGTATTCACAGGCCCAGGGATGCGATCTGGATGGAGGGTGTTGGGCTGGGTTTGTCCTTTAGGGTTCAGCATGTGCTGTGGCTTCTGGGCTCCAGTCTGGGGGCCCCTCCCAGCCACGGGACCCAGGCAGGGGCGGGGGCTCATGAAAGACTTAAGGCCCCGTATCAGAGACCACCCCTGCACCCTCCTCCGGTCCTTCCTTGGCCGCCCAGCACCCCACCAGGCCGTCTTGGTGTGTGACTTTATCTGTGACTAGAGTGTGCAGGGGAGGGGTGGGCAGGCCCAGCCCTGGGGGGGCAATGTGCAGGGGGTGCCGCACCCCTCAGGGATGCCTGTACCTTCAGCCTCCCTCGCCCAACCCCAGCCCCGGCCAATCAGTAACTCCAAAGCTAGCCACACCCAGCATCCTCTCTGCTCGGGCCTCAGTCTCCCCAGGGCATGGGCCCCTCAGCCAAGTAAGCCCACGGGATAGCCAGCGTGCCACGCAGCGTTGGACCAGACTCCATTCTTCCATTCTCTGCACTCACCACTTGTGAATCTGAGAGTGACCACAGCCCCCTGAGAAAGGCTCCCTCTCCACGCCCAAAAGGTCCGTCTTTCCTCCAGCTGCCGACCCACCACCCATCCCCCCTACACACGGAAAGGAAGCCGAAGCTTTCGGACACTCACGGAGGAGATATTCCGAGCTGTCGTGGTCGTAATCATTGTCCTCAGGGAAGTGGTTGATCCGGAAGCAGTGTCCTTTGTAGATCCCTGGAGGGAACAAGACGGAAAGAGCATCGTAAACGTTCTGCGGTTCTCTTGTCCACTCACTCCTCCGAGGCTCTGTGCAGGCCCCGGGGACAGGGAGGGGAGAAAGGCCGGCTCCAGTGTCCCCGATCTGGTGGTGGCACAGGAGAGAGACAAATGGAGGACGAGCGCACAGGGGCAGACGTTCCCCAGAGGTAACCATATCACTTACGGTCCAAGTCTGGACACCCAGGAGAGTAAAGGGTCACTCCAGGAATAACTGCTAGGACGAGGGGCGCTAAGCAGAACTGTCCTGAGCAAGCAGGATGTGGGATCCCTCACCAAGGGGACTATCAGCCACACTGTGAAAAACAGCAAGGAATTTGCCCCCTGGGAAGGGGGCGGAGGGGCCTTCTAGGCAGAGGAGCAAGGCCCCTAAAGACAAGGGTGGGGTTGAAGTCTGCCTGTCTGAGTCTTTCTCTCTCTAAAATCAAAGTCGCGGTGAAGCCCTCCTAAGGTGCACAGCTGGGCAGAGTCCAGGCCCCTCAACTCAATGCGATTAAAGGAAGAGAACATGGAGTGCGAGAAACTTCCAGAAGGGCTGAGACCATGTCTTGCCCGGTTTTCTCCTCTCCACTCTGAGAAGTGGTCCTTACAGGGTGGGAGGCACGACTCCCTGGGTAGTTTAGTAACTGCAGGAGGACTGGCCGGTCCTCCCTTCCAGAATCTTCCATTCAGCACCCCCTGTCCATCCTCTGCTCCCCTGCAGTCTGGGAATGCCCAGCACAGAACTGATGGCAGTGGAAGGGGAGGCGGTCACAGGGTGTTACTGTCACGCCCTGTCTGTGCCAGCCAAGCCCCTAATGGCCGGGTCAGCCTCCCGACCTGCGTGGCCTGTGCTGGGACTGTTTCCAAGTGGAGCCAATTCTTTTTCCGCAGCGGCTACCAAGCGTCCCCCTGGCCTCAGTTGGTCGGGAGCACAGTCTTGGCAGCGAGGTCTGCGCCAGTCGCACGTCCATGCCTGTGCTTCCATTCGGGAGAGGTCCCCGGTGAGGTGGGAGCAGGCCACTTTGCCACCCGGTCACCAAGTTGCTGGTGACCAGAGAGCCGTCCCCAAGCCTCCCCTCCACTGGGCTCCCTCAGCTGCTGCCTCCGAAGTGCCGGGGTGCTCAGTAGCAGCCCTGCTTCCCGAAGGCCCACGTGGGTGGGCTGGGCCTGGTCAGGGGCTCAGAGGGGAAGCCCTGAGTGGGACACACCTCAATAGCGTCCTCTGTGCAGCACGAGCAACGTGGGTGACCCCTCGGTCTCCCATCTGCAGGATGGGCATCACGCAGCCCTTATCTCCTGGGGATCTCAGGAGAATTACACGAGGGGACACCTGAAAGTCACTTCAGACGATTATTGGCCCACGGGGGTGGCTCAGGGGAGGTTTGCTGCCATTGGACCCAGAAATCACCCGTCCTCTGCTCTTTCGTGAGCAGCTGAACCGGTGGAGGACCACGAGGGTTTGTGAGCAAGAGAAACAAGCACCAGGACAGACAGGCTGGCCTCAGGATGGCCGGGCGTGGGCGTGGGGACACAGAGGCCAGCGAGGGCCACACCTCCCTCACTCCTGGTCCTATACCACAGATGTCCGTGGACCCGGAATAAGCATTTTCCCAGACAGGGAGGGTTAGGCGGTCTCTCCACCACTCCTTCCCTCCCCAACACACCTTTTTTTCCCCTTTTTTGGCTACTTCATGGGTCTACATAAAATTACCAAGTCACACATGCTTGTTGGGACAAGTCAAACACGAAGAGGTTGAAAAAGAAAAAGTAAATAATCCTTCTTTTCAGATTTGTTCTCCAGCAAAAGACCACTACGTTTGCTATGTGTCTTCCCACATCTTCCTTTGTATGTTCACCTGTACACACACACACACACACACACACACACACACACGCACACATGGCAGGACACCATCTTTAAAAAAATTACACTTTTCCTGAGATCACTATAGATTCACATGCAGTTGTAAGAAATAATACTGGGAGCATCCAAGCACCTCTTATACCCACTTTCCCCCAATGGAAACATCTTGCAAAACTACAGTCCAATATCCCGACCAGGACACTGACACCGATACAGTCAAGCCAGCACGGTCACGTCCCCACCGACCCCTCCTGTGGCCCTGTCTCAGCCACGCCCACTTCCCTCCCTCCTCCTTCTCTCCTTGACCCAAGGCAGCGCGAAGATGTCCTCCATGTCAGTCTTTCTGTCATTTCAAGAATGTTCTACAAATGGAATCATACAGCATGCAACCTTTGGGGACTGGCTGTTTGCGCCTGGCATAACTCTCCCGAGATTCATCCAAGCTGTTGTGTGCTTCGATAGTCTGTTCCGCTCTATAGCCGAGCAGGATCCCGCAGCACGAGTGCGCCATTATTTGTTTGCTTAATCCCTCACCCACTGAAGGACACCTGTCGTTTGCAGCTACGGCTGACGCGCCCGCAGAGGAGAAGGGCATGAGTTGTCTTTAGCCTCATAGAAAGTGAACGAGATTGTTCTCTGCCCTGTGAGCAAAGAATTTGGGATATTTCCCCTAAAAGATCAAACACCTTCAGCCATTGCTTCACTGATGGCTCCAAGAGCCTTCCTCACTCTGGCTGCGTCCTCTGGGTCTGCTCCCAACTTTCGCCGCCCGACGCACAGCTCCCACCACCAACCCAAGCAGGCTGCGTCTGACCAGCCCAAAGCGCGGGCGCCGCCCCTCCTCGTCCCTGGCCCCCGTGCTTCTCTGGATGGGACCTGGTGTCCCCGTGGACTCGGCCTCCTAGGACTTTCTCCCAAGAGTCACCTCACCTCCCCCTCAATCTGTTTTTGTGGAGTGGAGTGTTTAGCTCTAAGGCCTTCACATTTATCTCTGTCAAATGTAATTTTGTTAGTGTTGGCCTAAGGCATTTAATAGGGAGAAAATTAATGGCTGATGGGAGAAGAGAGAAAACCATTTCCAATCCACTTCACGCGTGTTCTCGCTTCACAAACAGGCCGTTTGCTGGGTCATCTATTAAGTGATATTTAGGGTGGTTAATTTGGAGATCCTGAGGGGTCGTACGGCAGGGACACTGAGGCACCCGGCGGGGTGCGGGGAGGTGTCGCCGGGCTGTGCTCCCAGAGACGCTGCGACCATCGCCTTCCTGAGGGTCAGGGAACTGCCGTGTGAGACCTCGTTAGTCACACAGCTTCGGGCAAGTTATTCCTTCGTCTTTGAAAGCCAGGAATTGGCCCGGAGGGAGCTGCTCCTGCTCCAAGGTTCCAGGACGACTTCGTGAAGGAAAGGTCCAGGCGCGTGTGCATACACGTCCACGTCCACGCAGCCCCGCACGCCACGAGCCACTGTGTTATCCGGAAAGCAATATCCCCAAACGTGCCCACTGTTTTATTTCTGGGTGGTGGGGGAATGAATGATTACATTTTTCTACACTCTTCTGTGTTTTCTGAATTTTCTACAATGTTTGAAAATGAACCAATAGAAGAAACTAAGAGGCTGGGCGCGGTGGCTCGCCCCTGTAATCCTAGCTCTCTGGGAGGCCAAGGCGGGTGGATCGTTTGAGCTCAGGAGTTCGAAACCAGCCTGAGCAAGAGCGAGACCCCGTCTCTACTAAAAATACAAAGAAATTAATCGGACAACTAAAAATATATAGAAAAAATTAGCCAGGCATGGTGGCGCATGCATGTAGTCCCAGCTACTCGGGAGGCTGAGGCAGAAGGATCGCTTGAGCCAGGAGTTTGAGGTTGCTGTGAGCTAGGCTGACGCTATGGCACTCTAGCCCGGGCAAAAGAGTGAGACTCTGTCTCAAAAAAAAAAGAAAAAAGAAACTAAGAAAAGAAACTGCATTCTTTATAGAGGTGGGTGTGTGGGTGGCGTGTTAGCCTCTCCTGGTGAGGCCCCCAGTCTCCTCTCCCACCTTGACCTCTGTGAAGGTCATGCCCTGGGGTTAAGCCCCCCAAAACAGCCGGATGACCAACCCCTGGGACTCAGGGAGGCCGCCCCAGATATGCCACCTGCATGTGACCCTGGGCTCAGGCTAGCACGTAGGACTTCCAGCGCTAAAATCAGGAGAGTTCTGGGAAAACCGGGGCAAGCTGGTCACCCTCTAAGCCATTTCGGGGATGCTGGCATCTGACATAAGCCTCCATAATGGGCCACCTCAGAGGCCTGTTGTAATTAAGGGACTCCTGAGGAAAGACTGTCAGAGGGCGACTTTATAATGGCAATCATTCATGTAACCCTGTATCATTTGCATTTCCATAAGTGTCACCTCATTTGACGCTCATCAACATTAACAGCCACCAGGGGCACCTATCGAGAGTGTTCCCCCGTATCTCTCAGCCCACCTTTCACCCCAGCCACGCGCGGCTGTGGCAACCACCTCCACGCCGGTGCAACCTGCTGACACCTCAGTTCAATGGCACCAATTATTTCTTGCTTTCTGCCCCCGGCACTGAGCAGGTTGCTGGTGGGGCGTGCTCTGCGCCTGGGCACGTGCGTCTGGAAGTTCGAGGGATTAACCACCGCCGGGAAAACCTATGAGCCGTGCAGGACAGGATGGGAGCTGGTGGATAAATGTTCCCAAACTCTGTCCCTTGGATAGGCCAATCTGAAGTCCCTTCTCCGCTGCTTCTGAAGGGGTGGGTCCCGGCAGGACCGAGCCAGGTGATGATCAACTCCACTCAGGACGTCCCCTGCACTGGCTTCCCCTGCCCCACGCCTGTTCCCTCGGTTGGCCACCCTGGATACACCACCTGCACACAAGCCCTGGGCAGGCTGAGACGACGGCCACTGTGCTGGGCACGGTCCACGCCTCAGCTCATCCCCTCTCTACACTAATGCTCCCTTGAAGATGCAGGGAAGGGGCTTGGGGATAGCAAAAGACCCACTTCCACAAGTCTCTGCAGAACGATCAGACATTCTACACCATGCTGGGGAACAAAATCTTTTTGGCCCCATTTGACAGAAGGGAAAGTGAGGCTCAGGGGACAC